GCGGGCGGGCCGGCCGTAGCCTTCACGCCGCGGGGGGACTTTGCCTCGGTGCTCTTCGCAGCTCATGAGGTTTACCCCCCAGCAGCTCTCCCTGCTTATTCCCTGGGGGTAGGACATTTCCAGCGATTGCGAGGAGAATCCTGGAGAAAAAGCCGTGTTAAGCGGCAGTTACCGGAGTGCCTGTCATCTGTGAGAGCGAGGAACGTCACAGAAATGCTGTCCTTATCGCAGACCTCAGTACTGAAAACCGAGGAAAAACAGAGAAAGCGCTACGCTTTGAATAATTCCATCTTCGTTTAGATACCAAAACAGACAGCTCACACCCCTCGACAGCCCTCCAGAGAGGAGCGGGGAAACGGTCTTTACCGGGAAATGTAATCTGTCTGGGATCAGAAGGAGTATAATCTTAAAACAGTAAGTGGAGGGGTTTTTTGTAGAGCAAGAGTTAAGGCTGTCCAGCTGCTGCAACTACATTTCTTACCTTAGTATGTTTGGACTTTGTAAGTGTATCCTCAACACTGAATTTCCTGCATACATAGCACATGGGTTTGCAATTTGCTTGCCGTGTTGGGTTTGGGGTTTTTTTTTTAATCTTTCAGTTACTCTTACGTAGTCTTGGTCTTTAGCTCTGTCCTCAGTCAGATTTTTAGCTCCAAATGTTTTCTTTTATGTAAGTGCTGATCGTACCAACGGTGTCTTTAAGCCAGGCAAAGCCACTAAGTTGAACATACGTCTCCGCACACACTACATTCACCCCTTGATACATTTTTGGTCCTAGCACAGTTCTGCATCATCATATCTTTTTCTACACTGGCCTTATCATCCCTTCCTCACCGGCCGTGACAGGTATGAGCAATTGGTCACTAGGACTAGTTATAGCAAGTGAGAGAGCTTGTCTGGCTGCCTGAGCAGAGGTGCAGCTGGAAAACTGGTTTGTGCAAAGCCTGAACAGATGAATCAGTAAGTCCTCAAGAGTGCTTCAGGATCACTGGAACAGTTGGCGTAAACAACTCCAGGACATAATATTCCGCTAGCTACAGCAAGAAAGCAGGACGGATGAGATTGCTGAACTCCATCCTACTTCTTTAGAGAAAAGGCTGCCGTTCATCTCACTGATAGGCTTGCGTTCTTCCTGGTTTCCATGCTCCTTCCCTTTGGGGAGGTCTGCAGTTGCTGGACTCTAACGCGTTGTACCGGCTGGTGCATTAAGGGGTGACTGAATGTGATACAACAACAAAGAACCTTAGGGCAAAGAGGAGTGCGTGTTAAAGTTGCAGATCTTTGGGCCTTTGTCCAAAGAGGTGAAGCAAAGAAATTTAAATTTTGCCTGACTTGGCTTTACTGAGCCCCCCTTCAGCTTTCTTGCTTCTGGTTCAGGTAACTCGGGAGGGTTTCTTTCAGAGCACTCTTACTTGTCATCCTTCCAAGGCCCAGTAAAATGTTCCTATTACCCCTCTCATGAAGGAGCAAGGAGGCCGTTAAGACTGCAAGGCTGTGTGAGGTTACGGCACGCCAGACTGCTTTCTTACTTCTAGATATTTAAATCTCGTACAGTTTAACTCTTTGACATTCTGAACTTGAGAGAACATCAAAGTGCACACAGATCTTGGAGAATTTTACAATACTGTCCTTCAGCATGAGAGGTTCACTAAGTTTTAATCTTTTGGTAAGAGCCACCCTACATTGAATAGATTGGGCTCAGTACAGAAGGAAGCTCAGAGAAAGCTGTAAAAGAATTTGACTCCTGCTCCAGGCACTGAAGATTGGGCATTTTTATTGGTAGGAGTAAGGCACACAGGAGGCCAGCAAGAGATTTTTAGTGATTGGGAATGATGTTAAGGAAGATGCTGTTTTCATTTAATACCTTTCAAAATGAAATATCCTGCATAATACGTTCCAGTATGTCCTAATGTAGTTCTAGATGTTGAAGTATATTGGACTATGCTATACAAAGCAAATGAGGCAGTTCTGAAACTCCCTAGTACTCTGCCAGGACCAAGGCAGCTCCAGGACTTGCCCTTTTGAGGTTTCCCTGTCAGAAACTGAGAGGATTACACCTGGAGTCCTGCGCAAGGACTTGTGCCACAGGTACGTTTCCCCTTCGTAGCCAGCTCTCGCGCCTGATTTAAGCAGCTCTGCAGCCCTGGCTCGGTTGAAGTTCCCTGGCTTGCTTCCTGGGCCTTGTATTGATCAAAAGTGTGCGTGTGGTGTAAGAAGACCACCCATAGAAGACCACTCACCAACAGATAAAATCCTGCTTTCGCATGGTCAC